TAGTGGCTTCTCTTTGGGGCTAGCTTTGCTCATCCCTGGCAGCTTCCTTCAGATGAACCTGTTCCTGGCTTCTCCCACCTTTTGGGGTCTCCACTGCCCTTTTAGCATCACACTTCCAGGTTCATACCCTGCCCTTCCAGGCATGCACTGCCTGGTCTCCCAGGCTGCCTTCTGAAATCTAGGCACCAGTCTCTCTGATCCCAGTTCTTGCATTGCACATGCCTGTAAAACCAGTATCATGTGGCTGAAATCAAGGCCTTCTATCAGCACACGCGCACACAAGCCCTCTGGTATCTTGTGGCTGCAGTGGCCTCTGAGTGCTTGGATGGCTGAGCGTCATCGTAAGCTGAATCCTGGGGAATTAAGTCCCATTTTGCAAGCTGCCCCTATGAAAGAGCACACTGCTTGGGCCTTGCTTCCAAAGGGAGCAACTGCCACTAGAGTCCTTCCCAACTGAAACTTCCTGCGCCTGGTCCTTCCTATCTGCATTTTGCACCAGGATTCTGGTCTGAAAGTCTAACCAGAACCGCACGTCAAGCTTGAATCACAGTGCTGTAGGGCTGCTTTTCCAGCTGGCTTTTCCCCACTTTCCAAACTCCAAGCCAATTCCAAAGACACCTGAACTGCGTGTTCAAGCAGTCACAGCAATGACCTCACTCCCGGTATAAAAATCTCTCTCTTTTTTTTTTAAATATTTATTTATTTATTTATTTATTTATTTATTGTGTGTGTGTGTGGCCAGCTCAGCCCACCAGGGGGCGGGGCTGGCTGGCATGTGGTGCTGGGGGATTGAACCACAGTCCCTGTGCTTTGCTAAGCCTGTTCTAAGTACATGCTTTAGACCACAGAGCCATCTCACCAGCCCCTCAAAATCTCTTAGTCACTTTCTTTCTTCTTGCTGGGACAACAGATCTGATGCCAACAAATTAAAAGAGGAGAGGTCTTATTACAGTGGATTCCCTACCTACAAAAAAAAAGAAAGAAAGAAAGATCTATCTTAAAAGTTACATTTAAATTGGGTGAGTTTTTTGGAGATTTTCACATTGGTAGGCAAAAGGCTGTCTCATTCAGCCACCTTACAGTCAGGCATCCAGGATCCAAAAGCTGTAAAGACCGATATGACATCATTCTATTTCAAAAATGACTAATTCACCTTAATGTGATATTAACACAGGATTACCCTTCTCATGGGTGAAGTTCATTTTTTTTATTTTTTGGCGGAACCAGGGATTGAACTCAGGCCCTTGAGCTTGCCAGGGAAGCGCTTATTCTACTGAGCCATCTCCCGGGCCCCTGAAGTTTATATTTCTAAAACTTTCTTTTTTTTTTTTTTTGGCTTTTTTGAGACAAGGTCTCATTGTGTGGGTCAGGCTGGCCTTGAGCTCACTTTGTAGACCAGGCTAATCTTGAACTCGCAACGATCCTCCTGCCTCAGCCTCCCCAGGGCTGGAGTTACAGATGTGCAACACCACGCCTGGCTCTAGTATTTCTAAAACATTTTTAAAATGCAAATCAAAATATTAATAATATTGTGGTAAACATATACTGGAAAGTATTGACAGCAGAAGAGCATGTCGTCACAAATTAATGTCTGGAATACAAATGTTTATGTAAGCATTCATGTGCTCTGATCCATTAATTGTATGTTTCTAAGGTGACTAATTGCAATATTCCATTCATGGGATGATGTAGCTAATTTTAAGTTGCATATATTAAAACATTTTAAAGTTACTTTTAACCCAGCTGTGGAGACTAAAGAATGTTTGAAAGCAACTACTATATTAGATTGCAAATGAGTGCACCTTCCAAAAACGAAGCGGTGCTGCCGAAGCTCACCTGCACAGTGAAAAAGAAAGAAAAGGCTGGACTTTTTCATCCTAAACTGTACAAGTGTAGGAGAGAACATCAGGAAGCACGTCGTATTGTTAACTCCAGTTGTCAACTGGATTCAGGGAAGAAGATGATTTTTATTTTACCTTATAAATTGTTTGAATTCCAAATAGAAACTAGTTTCAGGGAGTGGTGCTGGGGACGGACCTCCTGGTCTTTGTACTGAGCTACACCCCCGGCCTTCTTTATAATTTTTATTTCCAACAGGGTGTCAAGTCACTACGTTGCTTAGGCTGACCTTGAACTTCCAATCCTTCTGCCTCAGCCTCCCAGAGTGCTAAGATTCAATTAAAAAGTATGAGTTTTTAAGACATTCAGGCCCTCAATTGCAGGGATCCGTTGGTCTCTGTTGGATTGGTTCTACCCAGGGAGAACAGCAGCAGGAACACGAAAAGATAGACAAGACAAAAGCTGGGCTAGGTGGTCGCTGGTCTGCCTGCTAGGTGAGAGGAACACAAGCCCACAACAAAACCGACTTTTATTTATACCTTTGCAAAGTGAGTAACACATTGCACAAGGTTGCCTAGTGATTAATGGCTGACCTTAACCGGACAGGCTGTTTACCTCAGGACTGAGGCAGCTTGTTTGCTTCAGGCACTGAGGCCTATTTCCACCTACACACACACACACACACACACACACACACACACACACACTATTGACCCATTTCCTAGCTTCCACGGCTCTCAACACTCAATACAAACTAGTGATCTGTACTCATGTGAACTGCAAAACTCTATCAGCAGCTGTGCGCAGTGGCATACGCCACTCAGCCCAGCCCCTGGAGACTGAGCTAGGAGTGTAAGGTTAGCCTGGGTAACGTGGCAAGACTCAACCTTTTAGGAGGGAGAGGAGGGCATAGAGGAGAAGGAGGTGGAGAAGGAAAGCCAAAGAAAACCCCAAGCATGACTGCCCATGCCTATAATCCCAGCACCCCGATGGATAAAGACGTTAAATGTAAGGCTAGCTGGAGCCATCAGTGATCTAGCAGGACCTTGCCTCAAAGTAAAGAAGGCCAGGATCCTCAGGGAGAGGCCCTTCGTTCAACCGAGTACCACAGAAGAAACAGCTGAGCACCACCTGGTACTAGTGGTGGCAGAGGAAGCAGCCACACCCACCCATTTGTCATTCTATATACCAGACCTTGTGGCAGGGCCCAGCCATGCTCCAGCAATCCACACAGAAGCACTGTGGCAGAACGAATCTCCACACTGGAGACTGCACTTGCTCAGGAGGAGCAGAGGCGGGCACCACACGCGCAGCTGTGTTTTAATCCCAAAGCCTACTGTTACAGTTTATAACTAGATTTCCTCCACAGACTATGTGCTCCCAAGGGGGGTTTTCGGGAGTGGATCACGGGGTGTGACACTCTGTGCACCTGTTCTCCCTCGGTCCAGCGCACGGCTTCCTGCCCCATGCCCCACCCCACCTTGGAGCCAGCACTGTAGACCACAACCTGCACCAACTGAGCTGAAACTTCTTCCTTACAGTTGTGGCCATCTCAGTGACAAAGAAATTAAGGCAGACTTTGATATTGAGAGTGGGGTCACTGCCATGGCTACCTGATCACATGGTTCTGGAGCTCTGCAACTGGTCTGTGGGGTTTGGAAAGGTTTGGTGCAACCCACTGCAGCAGCAGCCCTGGGATGCCGCGAGCCAAGCCTGATGGTGTAGGGTTTGGGGTGCTCAAGTCTGCTCTTAGCGGTGGCTTCTAGCATCTGTCTATCCTGAACAAACAACTGGCCAACACAGGCACAAACGGTAGCACGGTTTTACACTTAGTTAAGGTAGGAGAAGAAATATGTTCTGCACAGCACATGTTGGCCAAGGAAAGCGAAGCAAAATAATTACGCCCTGCAGTGTGAGGGGGGCTACTGTGAAACAGGGCAGCCGAGAGCTCAGACTGCCTGCTTTCGTCTCCCACTCCTCGGGCCGATATCAGGGCAAGGCCGCCCTACATGAAACTGTTTAAGCTCTCAGAAGGCCATAGGCGGGACATTGGGAACTGGTGAGCATGTGGCCTGGTACTCCTTCATGAACAGGCCGCAGCCACCTCCCAGCCAGCTTTGCCGGGCCCTGTTCTCCTGCCTCCGCGGGAGACGCCAGTCAGCGCTCAGAGCCAGAATGCTGGCACAAATGCAGCCGGCGAAGACCAGCTGCAGGAGCTTCCTGTTGAGAACAAGGTCTCCACTGGCAGGTGGACCCTAATCCTGTGCTATACCCTGGTAGAAATGTGTCTCCACTTGGCTCACATCCTGAGACTTTCTTTGAGGGAGGCTGTGATTAAGGGTGTCCAGCTAATGCAATGAACGACCGAAAGTTCTCCAGTTAAGTCAGATAGATTTTTAAACCCACTTGTGCCTGCAAAAAATTCACTGCGTTCCAAGTTCCAAATGAGTTACAATTTAATTATTGTTGGCACATAGTACAAACATTTTTTAATCCATAGCCAATACCACACATAGCCACGCTGACCTGGGGAGCAAGCTCCCTGGCTGGTGGCTCATGGAGGGAGCTGAGCAGTGCCTTGAGTGTCTGCACAGCAGTCACACTGAAAGGCTTGGAGCAGCTCCTCTGGGGCACACTGGGTCTGAGAAGTGAGCAAGGCTGCAACAGGAAAGCGCTCTTCAGAAAGCAGTACTCAGAATCAGTCTAGACCGGTGGGCTCTGATGGAGTCTCCCACCTTCCGAGTCCAGCTGAGGGGTACAGCTCCAACCTCCACATGTAAAATGAGCTCCCTGGGGTCCTGACATCGCCAGTCAGGGAGTCACAGTCCTGGTGGACATGACTTAGTGCCCTGAGAGGAAGGAAGTCTCAGGAAGAGAAAGCCTCCCTTCATTAGCTACAGCACCTTCGCATCTCCCTGGATACTTCACACAGGGAGCTGGCGTGGTACTGCATGACTGTAATTCCAGCTCTCAGGAGGCTGAGGCAGGGGCATCGCCATGAGTTCAAGGCCAGTGAGTTCAAATCTCAACTACATAGGGAGAACCTATCTCAACAAACAAAAACAATAGAAACGTACAGGAGAGATCATAATTTTTGAAGCAGCATTACAATCTCTTGGGGCCGGGGAGATGGCTCAGTAGGATAAGCGCTTGACTACAATCTCTTGAACATGCTGCAAATAGGATTAACACGTTCGAACATTTTTGTGTTCTGATAGACAGTGAAGGATACTACATACACCTTCAGAACCTTTAAAATGTAACCTTTTGTCTGTAGTCAAGAGATTAAGGAACCTTCAGCTGATATGTAAGGTAAGCACAAATGTCACACACTTTCATCTTTCCAGAAAGGGTCACTCATCATGATTATGCCCTGATGATCTTCCCTCCATGGCATGGGTGTTTGGACCAGGTTAGGCACACAGCAAAGACTATGCATGAAGTCCCCACACCTAACTCACAAAGTTTTGAAAACTAACACCATCCTCGAGGCACCCTGCCCGCTCTCTGCTCCATTCCAAAGAGCACCAGCTCCCTGGGCTCCTGACCGACCACTGTCCCTTGTGGCCGGGGAGGACCCGGAAGCTGCTCCTCCGATGCCTTCAGTTGGCTTGGGCAACTCTTGTGTCGCAACCGAGCAAGTTCAGCATAGTCGTCACCAACTCGGGTAGATCAAAGTCGTGCTTCCACCCCCAGTCCTTGCGAGCCATGCTGTCGTCCAAGCTCATGGGCCAGCTGTCAGCTGGGGAGAGACAAAGGTGGCTCGGCTGCAGGCCCTGGAGCAGCAAAAGGTCCAGGGCGTTTTGTATGCCTGTGATGGCACAAGTTACCTAAGAGGGCAGCTCCTTAGAGGGGGAGAACGACCATGTCCCACTCAGGGGCCTCCTCAAGGGACCAGATTAGACACGACTGTTGTGACGTTCCCACTGCAAACCCCAGACAATTCTGAAGGTAGGAACCCTCCACCCAGAAGAGCACAAAGCAGTTACAGTAAAGGAAATCCCACAGCAGCTGGGTTTTTTCTTTGTTTTACACTTAAACTATGAAAGGATGCAATACCCGGATCTGTGTATTTAGAATGGAACTGCCTCACCTACTCGACAGCAATTCCCCGAGCCTAGCCCCAGCTCACAAGCTCAAAGACAGCTAATTCCACAGCGATGGCAGCCCGGAGGGAAAGCCGTGTGCACCCCAACTCCTAGTATGTGTCCTGGGGGGCAGGGCTGGGCTGGAGGATGCCTGGCCCTGGGGTACACAGCCAAGGGGCACCCACCTATGGCCTGCCGGGCAGGGTCCACGTGGTAGGAGATGTGGAACTCAGGCACGTGCTTGGCAATCTCCTGAGCCAGCTCCTCTGGGGTGAAGCTCATGGCAGTGATGTTGTAGGTTCGCATGGAGAGGGACTCAGCCGGGGCCTCCATGAACTCCAGGGTGGCCCGGAGACAATCGTCCACATACATCATCGGGAGCCTGGTGCTGGCTCTCAGGTTGCACTCGAACTTGCCAGTCTTCACGGCATCATGGAAAATCTGAATGGCATAGTCTGAAAGAGAATCCCAACTGGTTTCCTTGCAACAGTTCAAAGGAGCGCCCAGGATGAGGCAGGGTCCCTCTGACAACCGCTGCAAGTTAGATTCACTCTGCCTTACACAGTGAACCAAGGCTTTAGAAAAGTGGTACCACATTCAAAAATGACACAAAATAAATTGTATTAACATGTATATTTTATGGGGAAAAGAAAATGGTGAGAACCACCTTCCTGCATCTTGAGTGAGTCTCAGTGTTGGGGATGGAGGGGCGTGGTGGGCGCCTAATAATGTCCCCGTCCTGATATGAAAGTGGTTGTACCTCCAAGACCCACAGAAGAGAGGCAAAGACACAGAGTTCTGAGCCACACTTGGGGAAGCTCTGTGTATAGGCAGAAGCTTTTAAAGGGATTAAAACCAAAAATCTTTAAAATCCCTCAGACTCTGCCAAGCGTCTTTTCTACTGCATGTCAGGACCCCGAGAGGAGACAAACGCAGTGTGAAGGTTGCTGACTGCACCCCACAGGAGTGCCACAGAGGTACCACAGAAGCCCCTCTCAAACACAAAGTGCACCGTTCCATTTAAGTGAGCTTTCTCTGGATTAAGACAAAGGCTGGACTTGAAGACAGAAGCTATGCTTGGGGGTCCTCCTGCATTTTAATACCCTCGTTCTGAGTATCTCATGTGACTCTAGCATGGCAGTGGCTGACGGACAACAGCAGCATGCACCCCGAGCAGGGCCAAGTGGATGGGTATGAGGGGCGCCTACAGCCACATCCAGAGAGGACACAGAGATGCACTGGGGAAAGACAGCAGATCCACCCTCGAAGCAGCCTCCTGGGAGAGTAAGAGCCCGTCAGGGCCACTCAAACTCAAGAGACGAGGCTCACCTGTTGTTCCTCCTCCAGGTTGGGAGTCAGCGGAAATGACTCCAGGGTACCTCAGGCACCGGAAGTCTAGTCCAGAGCGGTAATTGTAATACTAGGAGAGCAAGAAAACTTAACTCAAAAAAGAAAAGAATCTCTTAATTTGATGAATCAAGCAAAGCAGTAACAGCTTTCTTGTGAAGCGCCTCCTCTCACTCTAGAGGGGCTCGGGCTGAACCCAGGGCCTTGGCCCTGAGCTGCACCCTCAGCCCTCATTTCCGTTCTTTTGCAACAAGGTCTCACTAAGTTGCTAAGTTGCCCAGACTGAGCTCCAACTCCCAATCGTCCTGCCTCAGCCTCCCAGAGCTCAGGGCCAAAAGGTGTACCCCACCAAACCAAGCTTCTGAACTATCTTTGGAAGCAGTTTCATTGAAATCTTCCTAAAGAAAATGAAACTTCAGACCTTCCATTAACCTTCAGTAACACTCTTAAGTCTTTCTCTTCAAAGAATCACCATCTTGATGAGACTGTCACCGTGAATAACAGCTGAATCCACCCTCAGCAAGGAGCTGCTCTGGGGTAACACAGAGGGGTGAGGAAGGCAAAGATCGGAGAACGACGGCTGCCACAGGTCACCAAGTAAATTGTACTGGAGAGAGCATCACGAGACACAGAGGTAGCACAACCCAGAAGGATGCTGGGATTTTCCATAGAAAGCTGCCAGGTTACCATGAGTAAAAACCACTACCCGGAGCCCGGAACAACAGAGCAGCTCAGAGGACATGCAGCAACCAAGGCGACTGGCACCTGCCACTTGGCAAACACAGTAAGGTACGGATAAGGTATGGACACATGCCAGAGGCTGGGCTGCAGCAGCAGGAGACCGCATGCGCAGAAGGCCCTTGGGGTCCCAGGGAAAAGGACCTGGAAATCACTCGCACCTGTGTGTGCCAGCCTCAGAAGGGACACTTACTTCCCCCATGAGCTCCGCATGGACCTTGGACACCCCATAGATGGTCCTGGGTCTCTGGACGCAGAGATCAGGGGTTCGGTTCCGGGGAGAGGTAGATCCAAAAGCCCCAATAGTGCTGGGAATAAACAGTCGCAGATTGTATTCTTCTGCAAGGTCCAGAATATTGTGCAGTCCTGAAAGGAACAGACATTCTCACGGCCCAGAAGGATCTCTCCCCGCCAACAGCTGGAAGAAGCGATCCCCTCGCTGGAACCAGACGCTGTCCTCACCAGTGATGTTCACGGCTCTGGCCAGGGGCATGTTTGCCTCGCCCACGGCGCTGAGCAGAGCGCTGTAGTGCAGCATCCAGGTGATGCGGTGGTTCACCACAACCTCACGGAGGTTCTGGGGGTCTAAAATGTTGGCGTACACAAAGGGGCCTGCGAGAAAGACAAGGACACTGCAGAAGCCAACAGGCTGGGGCTCACGGAGCTAAAGGTCATCACTGGACCTGCAGTTTCATGTTGCAATCACAGGCCACAGCCACCTCCCAGGCAAGGGACAGTGCCAGGCCACGGGCTCAGCCTCTTGTGTGCCTCCAGTTCACTGAGGAGGAAACAAGGCTCAAGAGAAGCACGTGCAGTCACCTTGCCGCTGGAAGGTGCAGATTTAAGAACGGAGGCGGGGCTCGGTAAAAACGCGCCTTGGTGCAGAAGGGCCATAGGTTGTGAGTTCCCCACACTGAATTACACTAGAGATTCAGACAGCTGTGCTCAATGCCAACTTCCCATGGACGGCAAGTTGTTGCCCTCCTCAGGGCAGACAGCAAAAGGCTGGCTCCAAACTGGGACGAGCCAAGAGACATTGTCACATTTTCAGTGCTGAGATTGTACCTGGAGCCTTTCCACTGAGCTATATCAATAGCCCATTTTTTAAATTTATTATTTTGAGACAGGATCTTGAGAAGTTGCTAATCACCCAGGCTGAGCTCAAAGTTCTGATCTTCCTGCCTCAGCCTCTCAGAGCGCTTCGATTACAGATCTGTGTGACCACGCTAGACTTAAAGATGTTTTTGAGGCTGCAGAAAGCTTCACCCAGGGAATCTGAGATCTTGTGTGTGCACAGCAGCCTAAAAGTAATTCATTCCACCTGGCAAGTGCAAGGTCCTGAGTTTGATCCCTGGTACCACCAAAAAAAAAGTAATTCATTCCACATTGTAATGCCATGACTCATTTCTACAAGTTTTAAAATTTCCTCTGCCTCATCACAGACCTTGATTTTTGTGTTCTTTTTTTTTTTTTTAATAAATCTTATACAGCTTTATATCTTTGTGTTCTAAGCCTGAACTAAAACTTGAAAATAGGCAGGAAGCAAAGACTTTTATTTCCAAGATATCATTGCAAATAATATGAAAAATATTACTCCAAATTTAAGTTCAAGTTGCATAGAGCACTCCTGTTTTTGTATCACTTGAACAGCTGCAGCATCAAAAAGTAGAAGATAATTTTATACAGTAACTTCCTCTTTAAGCCTGGTTACGAACCACTGCACACAGAGTCATGGGCATAGGCTGCTCCCCCCCCCCCATATCTAGGGAAGGGTCTACAGGGTGTTAAGGGTCTCACTACGAAGATTGGACTCATAGTGATTCTCCTGTTTACAGCCTCCCAAGTGCTGGTATTACAGGCACATGCCACCACGCCCTGTCTCAATTGTCTCAGTGTGCCCTGGGTCGGGTATGGCAGGCTGGGGGAATCAAACCCGGGGTCCCGGCCCCTGCACCTGCCTAAGCAGGTGCTTTTGTCTGCTGAGCTATTTGGCTGGCTCTTAAAAGCTGAGGAAGATTTTTTTTTTTTTTTTTGGCTGGCTCAAGATGCCAAAAGGGAGCGTCTGGTGTGGCATGTGGAGCTGGGAATTGAACCACGGTCCCCATGCCTGGTGCCTGACTGGGTTTGCCCATGCAGGTGCTTAAACAACTGAGCTAACCAGCAAGTGCCCTGTTAATTCTTTACTTTACTTTGAGAACCAAGAATAGACAACAGCCAGGGACAGGGGCTGCTCACCACTACAGAAGACGTGACTGGGGGGTTTCTTTATGTCCGACAGTATCACATTGTCCTTCCCATATCGTTTCCTAAATGGAAAGACAGAATGGACAAGATGGTCACACTGAGGGTGGGACAGGCCCTCTAAAAGCAATCCTGCTAAACAGGAAGCGTGACTTCCGGTCAGCCTCCACTCTTTCTCCCTCATCAGGTTCTACTGCAAGCCCCTCAGGCCCCTGTGCTCAGGGCCCCTCCTGCAGGCTCTCTTCTGTGTCTGCTCTGTCGCCAGTTGCTCCCAGTATTGTGATGGTTTTAATCCCTCTCTCTTCACTGTCATCCTACTTTTTCCTATCTCTTCTCTTTGCCCTAAACAACAAGTCTAGTGATGCAGGGAGGGGAGGACAGAGACGGACAGACTCTCACTTTACTGGTTAGCAAGGAGCGAGCACCAGGGACTGGGCAGAGGGACTGAGCTACAGGGCTGTGGCAGCTGTAGGAGATAAAACAAAGTGTGCTTTCAGCAGGCACTGAGATGCGATTTCTTACAAGTGACAAGGGGCTAGAGGAGCGAGAACAACGGGGCTACGTGGTGTCAGACAAAGGGAGCTGCACACAGGAGCGCAGACTTCAAGTTCAAACTCTTAAAGTTCTTACCTCAAAAGGCTAGCAAGGCCCAGTCCCAGCTGGCCAAGACCACCTGGAGAAAGAGGAAAAAATGAAGCTTTATTCCAAATCTAGCTACGTCCATCACTTGCAGAACATAATAATGAACAGGGCTCTTTCCTCATGGCAGGGTGACTAGACAGGGTCTCGGCCTGGGCTGGGGGTCTGGGACCGACTAGCGCTTCTCAGCCAACAGCACTGCCCTGAGAGCACAGAACGACCCCCCAGACAACTAGGACAGAGGCCCATGCAAGTGACCCACACTTCTGAGACAGACACCCTACAGCCTGAGGGAACCCAGGCAGACGACAAGGGGAAGCAGGGACACAAGAAATGAACAGAATAGGATGCTGGACACACGTCCAGAACTCAGCCTTGGCCTTCATGACTGGCCTGGCGCAGGTGCCAGAAGGTTCAGCACCAAATGCAGATAGTCCTTTTTTTGTTTTGTATTTTAGGGAAGGGTCTACAGGGTGTTCAGGGTCTCACTACTAGATCAAACTGGTAGTGATCTGCCTGTTTACAGCCTCCCAAGAGCTGGGATTACAGGCGCGGGCCACCACACCCAGTCTCAGCTGTTGTCTCAGCAAACCCTGGGGGTGGGGCTAGCACAGCAGGCCCGGGGATTGGCCCCCCACCTGCAGATTGTCTTGAGGTAGGAGGAGAAATGCAAGATAAGCGCAAAGGAGAGCAGGAAACTGTAACTACAACACTGTACTTGTTAGAAGATTGCATCCTCCAGGCCCAAGTCACCCAAGGCAATGCCGTAGTGCTGCCCTCCGTTAAATGTAGGCTCCTTCTTCTCCAGACCCAGCACACCCAAAACTCCCGGGAGCCCCGAAAGGCCGTGAGCTGGCTTGATGAAAGTAAAGAGTAGGACCCTGCTGCCAAGATAAGCAAACAGGTTGAGAGGAGCCAAAGAATGTTACTTACCTAAGGAAAAGGAAAAAAAAGCAGGCTCATACCTGTAAAATAGGCCACTACCCTTCTGGAGCACGGGCCATCTTTTCCAGGGTTTGTAACTTCTCTAAAGAAGCACAGATGTCCTTTATTTCTTTTGCGTGCACACCTTTCAATTTCCTTGGAAATCCCTTCCCTTGTGAGCCTCTCACTAACATCCTAAAAATTCTTTTTCCTGAAAGACATCTGGAGAGCCTGCGAACTTGCTAAACCTGCTCTACTGGCAGGGTGGGGTAAGCGCCTCATCTCAGCTTCAGGAACCTCCTCAGGTCCTAATGCAGCACAGAAGAACCTCAGAAGGGACCCCTAGAATACTCCATCTACCATGGGCTGGGATATGAGGGCACAGGGGGAGAAAGCGAGGGAAGTCATCTGAGAAAAGGGCAGAGGCTCCAGGACTGAGGACCCACCCAGGAAGCGTGAGAGGGATGGTGCAGCTTCCAAAGTGGAACTTAAAGATGTCCCGGATGGCAGGGAGCACACCGGGGGAGGAGGGCTGCGAATGTCATGTGGCAAGATTTCCATGGGCATCTGTTCCCATGGGACTGTGCCCCAGGCGTCCTGGGAATGTCCTGGTGGAGTTGGAAGGAGCGAGGTCAGTGAGGCAAAGCCAAAGAAGAAACCAGGCAGAGCAGGAGGAAATAAAACCTGTCCATCCATGAGCAGCGGCTGGCTCTGGCAGGAAGTGCTCTGCAAGTAAGTGGCAACACAAGAACCAAAGGCGCATCTGGGAGGCCACCTGGTGACCGCTCCACAGGGACAAACTCCAGTGACATATTCGCTGCGCGGGCACTCACCTAGCATCTCTATTCCAAACACACTGTGCTGCACTAATGGCCTGGAACGAGTGCACCCTTCCCTCCCGTCGCTGGGCCTCTACTCCCTGGCTGCTCCTCATCTGAACAGTCTGGCCCCAGATTCCCAGGTCCCTCCAGATAACAGTAAGCATCCAGTCAGGGAAACCAAGTGAAGAGGGCAGATCTGGGCTCTGCACTGTTCTAGGGAAAGCGGACAGTGGGAGAGGCCTCTGTGAATGAATAAGGGCTAGGCAGCAGCTCGGTGCACCTCACGGAGCAGGGCAGAGGGCTTGCTCACACCCGCCACAGATGCCAAGTCCAGCCTGGAAGCCGCGTGGCCCAGCCAGCCTGGGGAGATTCTGGGCGCACGTCACAAGTTCAGAACCAAAGGCAGTCACTCGGGAAGAACAAGGAAAGTGGCACTCAAGCCACAGATGGGAAAGAAAATGGGAGAAACCAACCTGTAATCAAGACCCGGGGACAGCCAGCTTCTGAGGAGGAGGCCGAATGGAAATGGGCCTCTGCAGGGCTCTGCGAAGGAGAGGCACTTCGTGATGGGACGGGCAGCACAGAGGGCAGGCCAGAGGGCCAGCTGCTGCCGGCCAGCGTCCGCACTGCGCCGCCTGCCACGGTCCTCAGCATCCTGACAACTGCCGTTTCTCAAATAGCCTGGAAAAAAAGCAAAGTGAGCCAGGTAATCTCGCTCTTCAGCTCCTGGAAAGGACCTCCTGCACAGAAATTAACACTGCAGCCGTCCAAGAGAAAGCAGAGTCAGCTTGGAATTCGGGACTTCCACTCAGGGTACTGCCAGCTGACTGACGGGAAGCCAGGCCTGTGCCTGCTGTGGTCTGGGCTGCTCACAAAAGGCCAAGATGCACAAATGGGCACACCAAGGCCCAGTGAGATCAGAAGAGTCCTGCACAACAACGCTGACACCAACAAGGATGGACTGCGACAGGAGGGTGGCGTGTCCAAAGGAGCACACAGTTAACTGAATTCCAGCACTCAGGAAGCTGAGGCAGGAAGATCGCCTTGAGTTTGAGGTCAGCTGGGGCTACAGAGGGAGAGCACGACCAGCCTGCACCACATAGTGAGATCCTGTCTCAAACATCCCCTCACCCCCATTAAAAAAAGACAGATCTCAATTAAACACATTTGTAGTATTTGTTAGGTCTCAGCAACAAGCAAAGCAGCCCACAGAGCACAAGATATACCAAGGTCACACATCCCGCGCCTCCTTCTGACACCTGGCCACCTGGCTGGCCTTCTAACTCTAGAACAAGGTAGAACATGTTTGCATCCCTGGCAGCGGAGTCCTACAGCCTAACCACAGCAGGAAAGGAGCTGTCCTTCTAAGGCCCTCCTGACTCAGGCTGGGACCTGGTTTAAATTTATTTATTTATTTTTAATTTTATTTGCATTTATTTTATGCTTAATTTATTCCCGTGCCGTAAGTTTTTGTTTCTTCAGTTTCTTCTGGGATATCTTTTTTTTCTGTGCAACTTCCTCTTCTGGTTTGGGAACAATTTGTTCCTTTTCAGTAAGGATCATCTCAGTATGGCAGGGGGAGCTCATGTATGGATTTTTTTTTTTAATATTTATTTATTTTTATTTTATTTATTTATTTATTTTGTGTGTGTGTGGCCAGCTCAGCCCACCAGGGGGCGGGGCTGGCTGGCATGTGGTGCTGGGGATTGAACCGCGGTCCCTGTGCTTTGCTTGATCTAAGTAGGTGCTTTAGGCCACTGAGCCATCTCACCAGCCCCTCATGTATGGATTAATCCGGCCATGAGCTCTGTAAGTATGGCGGCACATCCTGGGTGCTTTGTTCACCTGGATGTGTTCAATAACCAGAGAATCTACATCTAAACCCTTAAGTTCAGCATTACTCTCTGCATTTTTAAGCATGTGCAGCAAAAATTCAGCACTCTTTTTGGGCCACCAACCCTGTGTCCAGCCCCACTGTTTGGCCTGGGCACACCTGCCAATTCCACCACTGTAACGCCGGAATGGTACACATTGCTTCTTTAATGTGACATCCTTGAGTTACTTGGTGGCCTTTCGGATATGCATACCCTTGATGGCCTGGGCAGTTTCACGCGTGTTCTTAAAGTGAATGCGAAGATTTGAGCCTCTTGATTTGCATGATTTTGTGGGGTTTTCTGGGTCAAGAAAGTAGCGAAACATTTTCACAGGTCACCGAAGGCCGCTTACAGGAAAAAAGCCTGGTTTAAATTTAGAACTTGTCTTTCACAAATGTTCCTTCTTAAATTCCTTAAAGAATTAAAGCCCCCAAGGAGACAACGACCATCGAAAAGGACAGGAAGCCATTTTGCAATTCCAAAGTAACCAGTCTGTAAAAGGTTGACAAGCCTCGTCATCCTACTTCTCTGAACCCCAGGAGTAATTCTGTGTACATTAAAATATACCCAAATCCACCCTCAGGGCAGATGCCTGCAGTAACACTTTTGGTCATTTACTTTACAGTAAATTCTGCCTCTCTGTCCACATGGCCTATGTCTTTTGACCAAATTCTCTGACCACAGGCACAAAGAACCAAGGACCAAGCTGAGAGGCTCGGGTTCCTCAATGTATCAGGACCCAGCTTCTGAGAGACACAGGGCAACACCTGAACACCAGCCTGTGGGTCCTAGGTGGAAGCCTTCAAGCTCTACCACAACCTCTTTCAACCTGTCCACAGCCACATGAGGACACCAGCAGTTCTCAGGCTAACTGACCCTGCTCTGGAAAGCTACACTAACACTCAGTTGTTGTCCCTGGAATGCAACAGACTAGAAAAAGTGGGCAGGGGCCGGGGAGATAGCTCAGTAGAATAATTGCTTGCCTGGCAAGTGCAAGGGCCTGAGTTCAATCCCCGGTTCCACCGAAAAAAAGAAAACGAAAAAGAAAAAGTGGGCATTTAAGAGAAAAGGATCCTCAGGGACACTTAGTAAACTGTGAGTAATTTTTGTTTTACTGCCATCTCCTTCAAAAGGATCACTTAGAAAAGAATTCTCTCACTCCTTCCAAGATGATAACTTTCTGTCTACTCTGGGCAGCTCCTCTTTTTTACTAGCTCAAACTCCAGCTGCTCTTGCAGTCAGGCCTGGCCACAAGGTCAGGATGGGTGTGGGAGAGCTTCCCGCTATCCTGCGCCGGTGGGGCCTACCGGTCCCAGCCCAGGTGCAGCATGGGTGAGACCCTCGTTCACTCCCTTGGGATGGCCCCCCAAAACTCCGCAGCACCTCCCCCACCCCACCTGCCGAGTAGGAATTTCTGCCGCGTTCTAGGGACCCCCAGATCCAGTCCTAGCCCAGGCCCAGTGAGTGTGTGGGTGAGCTTCCCACTGCCCAGTGCTGGCGGGACCTAAGGGTCCCAGCCCAGGTGCAGAGTGGGCAAGACCCTCCTTCACCCCCTTGGGACACCTTCCCCACTCCGTAGTAACCTCCCCCCTGCCCACAGAGTAGGAATTTCTGTCGCGTTCCGGGAAACCCCAGATCTAGTCCTAGACCAGGCCCAGTGAGTGTGTGGGAGAGCTGCCTCTCCTAACTACTCCACCTTCTCCCCTTCAGACTCAGCTCATGCCTGGCATACAGGCCTTGGGAGAAACCCTGCAGCTGCAATCCCTGCAGAGAGTGTAGGGAACAGAACCATGCAGCTAGTCCAGGAGAAGAACATCTTGCCAGAGGGGCACAACAGGTTCATCCCCAAGGGCAGCAACATGAAGGAACTGAGCACAGCAGCCAGACCCAAGCCAGGCACAAGTGGATAAATCCAAACTTTGTAGATCTGCACCTGAACTTCAGTAGGTGCTAAGGTTATAACTGCACCAAAGATCTACAACAAAGGTCAGAAGAGAGCACTACACAAAATGACAACAAGAAGAAGCAAAATGCAATCTCAGAACCCAAGCCCACCCATAACAAGTGCAGAGGACACTAACACAGAACAAATTGGGAAGCACACAGCTGAAATCAATGAATCAATGGCTTCTGAAATAAAGAAACAACTGCAGAAAGTTATACAGGAACTCAGACTGGAAATGAAAAAAGAAATCGCTGAATTAATAACATCTGCAGTACAGAATCAAATGCAGAAACATATGGAGGAAACTCAAGGCCCACCCAGAACAAGTGCAGAAGACACTAGCTCAGCTCAAATGTATGAATTAATAATGTCGATAGTAAATAAGCAACTCAGAGGGGAATTTTCTGAAATAAGAAAAGAATTCTTGGAACTCATAGCATCTGAAGTAAAACATCAACTACAGAAATATAGGGAGGAGGGGCCGGGGAGATGGCTCAGTGGAATAAGCGCTTCCCTGGCAAGCGCAAGGGCCTGAGTTCAATCCCCGGTTCCACCAAAAAAAAAAAGAAATATAGGGAGGAAACCCAATCTGAAAAAAACACTGCAGTAAAAGAATTAATAAATGCTTCTAAAGAAGACACTGATAAAAAAAATAGAGGAGATTCGAAAAATGACGGATTCCTTGAATGAGCAATACAGGAAAGAAATAGATCGCATGAAGCAGAGTCAAAGAGATATAGAGGAATTCAAAATCTCAATC